CAACACGCAATGAAATTTGGTACACATTTTAATCAACATGTGTATAGCAAGTACCAAAAAGGAAAATGAAGTTATTTCATTTTAACTTGTAGAGTAACATTTCACCAATATCTAGTTTTACGAGTAAAAGTAAAACCTCGAAAGAATGCATACAAATATATCACTCTTTTTACTGTACGTTCCTTAACTTTTGTTGACTAGTTTATATATATTATCATTCACCTTTGAGGCTGCCATATATGTAATTTTGAGGGCACTCTTTATCATTTATGCTGACCAGAGTTTCTTTTGCTTTGAGATGGGGTTTCCTTTTTTTTTTTGCTTTGGTAGCTAACCTTAACAGGTCTTTTTGTCTTTAACTTTTATCTTATATCAAGGTCTTTTAAAGGAACAATGCTTATATGATATCTCAGTTGTTGTTTATTTTACCTTACAAATAAAAAAAACCCAACCTAGGCAATAGATCCTGTGTACCCAGTCATCCAAAGAGCATGTGTGCATCATACACCCATTTCAAACCATCTCTTGCAGGAGAGACAAGTAATGAACTCTTGCCCATCAGCCAAACACATTCAGACTTGGGACTTGAGATCTGTTAAAAACTTTTGCCTTCCAAATATTTATATATGTTCGAGGGAACTTGGACAATTATGATAACTCATTTAGAAAAAGAGACTGATGTGCAAAATCTGATGTGACAGACTGCTTTTACTTTCTCTGCCCCCTGATATCCTATGGATTGTTTTGGTCTATAGGGAATTAAATCAAGTAGACTACAATCAGAACCAGGACGAAATGCCACTATTTAATTAAGTCACTAACTGCTGTGCTCCTCCTAAAGATATGTGACAACTGGCTGTGAAAGTACTAAGGATGTTTTGAAAATATCTTACTCATTACTAAGAAAGAAAACTTCACACCAGTCTGAGACTTAGTACCTAGAGAGTCAAGTTCTGAAATTAGCAATTTTAGATTTGTAAGAAGCTTATCATTATCATCATTGCCTTTCTCACCCTGCACCAGGGTATAGGCAACAGACAAACACTTTCCTCCTTTCTCTATCATGGGCTAGCCTTTTGATGTTTTTCCATGTCTTCCCACTTTTCTGTTCATCAATTTCTTTGATTTTTCTCCAGGTTCCACGCGGTCTTCCCCTTGATCTTTTGCCCTGTGAATTCCAATCGAACACTCTCTTTGATATGCAGCTGCCTGACTTCCTGAGACTATGTCTAATCCATCACCACTGCTTTCTTCGTACTTCATCTCTGACTGTGATCTGTCTTGTTCTCCTTAAAACTACCTCGTTGGTGACCCTGTCTGTCCATCTGATCCTCAGTAACTTCCTTAGGCACTTGTTAAAGAAAACCTGGATCCTCTTTACTTTATGCAAGTTTGTGATGCGTTCCATGTCTCACATCCATACAACAGGACCGACTTCACATTTGAATTGAAAAATCCTCAGCTTTGTTTGAAGTGATATATCTCTGGTCTTCCTGTTCAAAGATATGAAAGAGTGGTGTGCCTTATAATAAGTGTTTGTATTTTTTTTGCTCAGTTACATGACAACCATTCCAGAAATAACACGACCATAAGCAGAATTTTCCATACTATGTAATAAATGTATGGATTTACAGAAGTATCTGGTGTTTTCTTTATATTTATCTCTTCTCTAAAAATTATTTCTAATACAGTGATGTCTGCCCAACAGCAAACCTCCTTGGGAAGCAAACCTTGGTTGCTGTTAGTTAGGCAGACGTTGCTGCGCAACTTAAATATGTCATCCAGTTTTTTTGCACCTCAGCAGCTTACTGCCAATACTAATACTGTTATGTTCCACTGCTAAGATTGAGGTAGAAAATTAACTTAATAAAAATACACTTTGGTAAATATTGCCCACAATCATCCCTGATCCTAGCTTTATAAATGTATAGTTATCATTGAGTCAATCGCCAGGTGGTTGGAGGGCGCTCAAGAGAGGTCGATTCCTACTTCTTTTCATTTTCAGAGTTCAAGGAACGGGCGGTTGGCAGGTTGCTCCTTTCCTATTCAAAAGATCTATCGTCCTTATTTCTGTCTTCCTTCTTTACTTCGTATGTTACTCTCTAGTAACACCCCTTTGGCACTTATATGACCTATTTGTGTTGTGAGCGTTGTAAAACTTCTAATGTATAAATACTAAAGAATTATAGGAAAGTTCTTAATTATACATGTACTAAATTGCAATACCTGGTATATAAATAAACAACTCAATTACAACATTATATTTAACTCACATTCAGAGCCTATTGTGGGGGCTCTCTTGGTCTAGAGGTACGGTGTTCACCTCTCATTCAATATGCCCTGGGTTCGAAACCTGACAACGACGGAAAATGTTCTTCTCTAAAATGTTCTCCTTTCATCTCAGTCTAACCATGTTCTGTCATCTGCTTTCGTCTCCACTTTATGCCCCCCC